AAATCACTTGAAAATTGTAGTTTATTTATTGTGTATATTCTGACTAGATTGTGCATGATGATTGTGATGGTCAGGTTGTAATGCATTTTAATCATATGGAAAAAGCCCCACCTGTAACGTTTTTAGAAGCTTCAATGTTTGGCTTAGATTGTTTTGCTTCCTTGAAAATTAACTCATTCATAGGTTACTTTAAGGTTTTTAAACTATTGAATTTGAAAATTTTGTGCGGCAAACTAAATCTTTTATTTAGTGACCATTTAAATTTAAAAAGACTAAAAAATCTTTTCTAAAATATTTTGATTTTTTTCTTTCCTATTCTGAATATTATTTTTAAACCTATTCTATACGTGTAAATCATGATCATGACAAACACCAAGCAATGGGACTGATTCGTTGGGTCATTGTTTCAACAAGGTAAATGTCAATTAAAGTAATTGCACAATTGTTTTGAAGAATAGATTTATTTATTTTTTTTGTTTCATTTAGTAGTATAGTATAATTATTATGCATGCTAAACTAAAGGTATAGTAAAATTATTGAGAGAATTTTATTAATTGCTTTTAATCACATAATTGTAGAAAAAATCTGCTTATTTGTATTATCTTCATTTAACTCTCGTTGAATGATATTGTCACTCAATTTTTATTGTGTATTATATATAGGAATCATGCTAGAAGTCAATGATATTCATGTTTTCCTCTCATGAACAAGATGACTTTTCTCTAGAATTATGTTGCCACGCTTCTAGCACACTCAAAGGAATCACGCATCCAACTTGTACCTACAAAATTGAAAATTGTAAATGGAAATGTATTTCAAGTCAAAAGTTCCGAATTGCATACATTGGATTACCATTTATAGACTCTGTATAACCTAGACTAGCATATGAGGTTGTCGCATGTACTCTCCATTTAAGTTCGTATTAATCTCATCAAGTAGATATTCCAAATTTAATTTTAAATCTCCAATTTAGCAGAACCAGCACTATACGCCATCAACATGAGAGAAAAATATATAAGAAGTTGCAAAATACCATAAATATAATTGCTACAATAACCTGCATAATACTTACTACAACATCTGTTATATTAACCCCATAAAGCAACTAAGAAGTCTCATGCTAAACAAAAAGCAATATTAAACCGCCACTGGATACGAAACCCAACATTAGTTCAAAGCAACCCAATCTGTTAATACTCCAAATAACAGGATGATATTATGCATCCCATCGTAACTTTCTCAAGATAATGTGTGAATTTACCTTGACTAAAATAAAGGCTAAAATTAAGCCAACCAAATTAAGTTACCTTAACGTAGGTAATAACATGCAATATTTTCAATTCACATTGTTAGTGTAAAAGCCCAAATTTTTAATTATCGAGGTATTGTCTGGCCTCACGATTTTATCCCGTTGGTGTAACTTCCTAGGAGACCACCTATCTCAAAATTGCTCTCGTACAAATATGCTTAACTTTGGATTTTGTTAATGAATTTTTAATCATCACACCTAAAGGCCCCTTGTTTTTTGAAAAATTAGCTTCTTTTTACATAAAAGAGGTTGCACACTTCTCTTTAAAACAAAAAATAATAAATAAAATGATGAATAAATAAAAGAAAATATAAAAATGGAATAGAAATTAATAGTTAATGTGATGCTTCTGACGTGAGTTAAAATGAAGATTTTCTTCCCTATGGATTTTGCTAATCTCTAAGAAATAGTGCAAGATTTGGGGGCTATCAACACTTATCCTATCCTAATTTGTCACTTGGGAGACATCTGGTCAAAAAGTTGGCATATTAGTCAATCAGGTCAAAACCAATTTGAATATAATATGCAAATTTTTAATTAAAATGGAATTGGAATAGATTTATGTTCAACCTACTTTTTATCTTGGATCATTGTGAAATCAAATTTTAAGTTTAGTCGAAAATCCCCAAATTTTGTTTTGCTAAGAGATTGACAGAGTGGGTGGAAAGTTTCTTCAGACAGTTATCTTGTTGTGAATTACAATGAGAGAATAAATGAGGACGACACATGGTATATTACATAGGGTAATTGAATTGCATGGCCAAAGATGCAACAATTAGAGAGAGGTGCTGATGTGGTGATCAGTGTGTAGAATGAGACATGCAGAGAAAAGAAAAACGGCACAAAAAGAAAACACAAGGTTTCTGCAGTTTAAGTTATAATGTATTCTATCTCCTCCAACCTCCCTTTTGCTACATATATTGTATTCGTGTTAAGCTTTGAGGCTAAAAAGGTCTAAATGGCAAAAAGTCCAGCATCATACTAATATAATCAAGGTTGTGAAAATTGGATTGGACAATAAAGCGAAAGAAGAAGGGGACCAGGGTTAAATCGGATGACATAATAAATAGTAGACTATTAAATTAACATAATAATTATGATAGTCTTACCTTAAATCTCATAATTCTAAGAATTTAAACTCTATACTTTTGAACAGGATATTGCATATTATCTCTTAATATAATTAAATTATGAAATAATTTAATTAAACTTTTTAATGAAGATTGTGAGAATACGATTGACTTTAGTGATCATAACACCCTAAATAAAACTAAAGATTTTTGTTTTTATCTGCATATTAGTAAAACTAAAGTTAGAGAGGTTTTAAAGAAAATGAAGTATGGGAAAGCTATTGGACCTGATGATATTCCAATAGAGGTGTGGAAATACTTAAATGAAGAAAATTCTTGGCTAACTAAATTTTTTAATACTATTTTGAAGACCAAAAAGATGACAAATGAGTGGAGAATGAGTGTGTTGATCCTTCTTTTTAAGAATAAAGGTAATGCACAAGATTGTGCGAATTATAGAGGAATTAAGTTAATGTGTCATACTTTAAAACTTTGGGAGCGAGTTATAGAGCGTAGGTTGCGGCGTGATAATAATGTTTCTCAAAATCAGTTTGGATTCATGCCAGGTAGGTCTACTATCATATACTTATTGAGAGGTTTAATGGAGAAATTAGAGAGAATAAGGAGGGTCTACATATGATATTTATTAATTTAGAGAAAGCTTATGATAAAGTTCCAAGTGAAGTGCTATAGAGAGTTTAAAAAAAAAAGGAAGTTAATAATGTTTGTATTCAAATAATAAAAGATAAGTATGCAGGTGCAATTACTTGTGCTCAAACACAAGGTCGTTTGACCAATTATTTTCCTATTTCGGTTGGATTACATCAAGTGTCAGCCTTAAGCCCATATCTTTTTGCTTTAGTCATGGATGTTCTCACAAGATATTTGCAAGAGGATGTACCTAGGTGAATGCTCTTTGATGATGATATTCTTCTTGTTGATAAGACTAGAGAGGGAGTGGAAGGTATAGTTGAATTATGGAGGTCAACCTTTGAGTCAAAAGGTTATATCTTGAGTAGACTAAAACTGAATATATAGAGTGTAAATTTAATAGTAATATACATAGTGGGGGGGCTTGTGACTTTGGGCGATCAAGTCATTAATAATAGTAAACGTTTTAGATATCTTGGATTTATTGTTCAGAGTTATGATGAAATAGATGGGATATTATTAGTAGAATTCAAGTTGGATGGTCGAAGTTGAGAAATGCATCAAGCTTGTTGTGTGATAGAAAATTCCCTCTCAAACTTAAGGAAAATTCTATAAGATGATCGTGAGACCTGTAATGCTTTATGGTATAGAATGTTGGCCATTAAAACAGAAGCATAATACTAAGTTAAGTATTGCAGAGATGAGGATGCTAAGGTGGATGAGTAGATTTACCCTTAGAGATAGGATACGAAATGAGCATATACGTGAAAAGGTTGGAGTAGCTCTAGTGGAGGATAAGATTAGAGAGAGTCGCCTTAGATGGTTTGGTCACTTAAAACGACGGCCTTCCGATGACCCCGGTTAGGAAAGTAGATGTATTCGATTTGACTTTATATTAAGAACGGTAGAGGTAGACCTCAAAAGACTTGGTTAGAAAATATTAGAAAAGATCTTTTTTTATTAGATTTAAATGAGAATTTGATTTTTAACATGACACAATGGAGAAAGAGGATTCATGTAACCTACCCCACGTAATGGGACAAAGGCTTGATGTTGTTGTTGTTGTTATTGTTGGTTTTTCTTTTTTGGTAACTGGCAAAGGTTTTTTTTTTTTGCCAGTCTTGTGCTAACTAGATGGGAACTGATCAGCATTGCTGTCATGTATTTTTCAGTATGGGATCCTTGCAAAAACTTTTTTCATCCATAGGTATTCTAATTACTTTCCAGTTTTAGTGGTATATTATCAATCAGCAGCCTTGAGGGGCTTTTGTTTATCTTCATTCAACTCTCATGGCGGAAGGATGTTGCCTGTGAGAGTGCAATTCATAGTTTGTTTTTCTTTTCAATTCCATTCACTTGTTAATATTCGGTTTTATGTTTTTCATGGATCCTCTTTTTTTCCAAACACTGGAAATTGTTTTGCACTAGGACCACCAAAAAATTTCATTCTTTGCAATTAGCTCCTGTTTAGTTTGCTCGTTAAAGAAGGGAGACGCACTTGAATACAAATTTTAAGTTTATTTTCTTAGCAGGCAATTACAAGCAAAACCTTATTCCGTCTCGAGTTCAGTTCATTGATTGCTTGAATTGGCAAAATAGTTCTTAATATATCTTTAAATTATATAAAATCTATATTTATTATATCTTAATCAAATCTGTTACATTATTATCCGATGGCTAAGATTTTATTCAACTAACTCAAGCCTATCAAATTGGACGAACGGACGGCCTGCAAGTTTAATCAATTGAACAAAAGCCTATCGAGAGTGTTCTCAGGCATACTAAAAGACATCAAATTTGAATGAACTCAAAATTGAACGAGTCGAATATGAACACAGATTAAGCTCTCTTAAGCTCGGCCCGTGCAATCCTGACTTTGTTTGAGAGACATCATCCATTGAAATCCAGTTATTAAACCATGAAAAAATATATGAATTTCTTCGTTCTAATTTGGACTACTTCTTTTGCAGGCGGTTATGGAGTGGCAACGGGTGGTCCACTTGCATGGGGACTTTGCTATAACCATGAGTTGAGCCCAAGCCAATCCTACTGCAAGGAAGACTATCTTTATCCTTGCACAGCTGGAGTTGAATATCATGGCCGAGGTGCTCTTCCCGTCTACTGGTATGCCACTGAAACTATTTCTTTTCTTTTAATGACTGGTTCCTTCATGAACAATGAAGAGAATCATTTCTCTCAAACCATTTCAGGAACTACAACTATGGCCTCATTGGTGATGGGCTAAAAGTTGATCTTCTGAACCACCCTGAGTACTTGGAACAGAACGCTACTTTGGCTTTCCAAGCTGCCATGTGGAGGTGGATGAACCCCATTAAAAAGAAGCAGCCATCAGCTCATGATGTCTTCGTCGGGAATTGGAAACCCACAAAGAATGACACTCTGGCGAAAAGGCTGCCTGGCTTTGGTGCCACCATGAACGTTCTTTATGGAGATGAGGTTTGCGGCCAGGGCGATGTAGATTCCATGAACAACATCATATCTCACTACCAGTACTACCTCGACTTGTTGGGCGTTGGCAGGCAGAATTCAGGAGAAAATCTAGATTGTGCTGAGCAGGAGCCCTTCAACCCAACTGTCCAACCTGCTTCTTCATAAGCCCGCCACTGTTTGAGGAATGAATTCTTTCTAAAATTCAGTGTTTTTATTCCCTTATTCTAAAACTTTGTTATTTCGTATATGTGGTTTTGATGTTATCATCATATATGGCAGTGCTATGCCCGATCATAATATATTGTATATTGTGAGTTTATGGGATCTATTTGGGACAAAAGGTTGATTATTGTTACTTCGTTTTTAAGTATCTTATTTGTTATGCCTACGAATATGTAACCAGGGTTAAGTTTTTGTTGATAAAATCTGTTGCAATCTTGTATTGTTTGAAGTTTGAATTGATGATAAAGTGGTTGTTTTGTGTTTCGGCATTGCATATATGGTTCTCACCAATGTTCTAACAGACTTCAATTTCATTGCATTAATGCGTTTTACTACCTCTGCTATTTTGGATGGAATGGGGAATTGAGAAAAGAAGTGTAACTAATAGTTGGATTGAATAATTTTAGTTGATAGAAATTAGGAGAATTATTGCTATTGTTCTAAGGTTGAATGAACAAACTTTGGGTATCAAAAATAGATTTTTTTAATCACTGCATTTATTTAAGAGTTTAATATAAGTTCATTGATTAGTTATTTATTATAGTCATTTTAAAATAAATGTACTAATTAAAAGGGGGGCTTTTTTAAAAAAATTTAAATTACGATATCATAACCTAAGTTTTATTTGAATTATTTTTGTGCATTAAACTTATGATTCACTGCTTCAAAGGAGGCGGTGGATGCGGGAAAAAATAAATGAAGTTTGGACTTCATGTATTTGTATTCAAATTATTACAAGAAAAGTAACATATTATTTTGAATGATAAACAATGTATTTTACAATTACATCATAAATAAAAGTTAAGGTATTTTGAAAATTATCATTTTCATAATTACATATAATCAGAAATAGCATACTATCTTCAATGATAGAAATAATATTTTGTAAAAGTATTTAAAAATAAAAATATGATTTTGAAGAACGTGTACATGTTTATTAGAGATTTTCTCCTATCTTAGAAATAAGATCAAATTTATTTTAATTTAGAGTTAAAAGTACCTCTTTAAGGCAAATTTTTATGGTTGATTACATTTTAAGAGAGGCAAGTCTCTTAAGAATAATTTCGATAAAAATAGTTGTCAAATATTCACTTATAAATTTCAAAGCTTAAGATAAGAATTAGAAGTTTTAAAATTTTAAAAGGAGACCGATTAAATTATACCAGTTCTTTCTGGAGTCAAAGTAAGAAAAGTTAGGAGCTTATTGGTTAAAATGATGTTATGGAACTGAACATGCCATTCAAGTAATAAAGCAATGAGAAAATATTGTTCTCATGAGAATTGAGAATGAGCTTTATTAAGTTAATCAATAATTTTTAATAATTCGTAATCAATCCTGTCACCTTTGAAATAATTTTTAAATAGCAAGGAAAAAGCAAGATGCAAAAAATATATATGAATTCATATATTATTTTTTATGATCTCCAAATTTTATCATAACACTATATTTATGATTGGGTAAAATTTGAATGTTTGTTAGGTCTTCTAATTGTAATTATGGATTAAAGAACCCCTAATTCTTAGATCAACATCGAGCATGTTGGAATCATAACAAAGGAATTGACTAGTGTTGACCACGTTTTTTTAATGAGGTTAAATCCCTCCCATATTCTGAAACCATTTCAAACCTAGCCATACATAGGGCTAAGCCTAGGTTAAAACTAAACTTCAAAATAATTATCAAGTGGGCCACCTAAAGGGTCATTACAATTTAAACATGATGTTGCAAATTTGGACCCAACACTACCAAAAAACGCGCTCTTTCGCAGCGGTTTCGCGCAGCGGTTTTAAAAACCGCTGCAAAAACTGAAAATTTAAAAATAAAATTATCTATTTTGCAGCGGTTATAACCGCTGCTATTTGCACCGGTTAAAACCGCTGGCAAAACCCAATTCTTATTTTAAGTAACCCGATCGAAGCCCTAATATATATATATTATATATATATGAAAAAATGTATTTATAAGTTAAGTTATGTTATATATATTTAAAATTAGTGAAATAAAGTTAGTTAAGATTAGTTAAAATTATATAAATATTTCAAAATGAGTTAAAAATTAATTAAAATATAATATTTAGTTTTAATTAAATAAGTCATAATCGAATTTCTTAACGAGCATGTTCACGAGCTCTAAACCATCTTGTTCGTGAACATACACAAGCTGAACGTCGGGGTGTTCAAGCTTGTTTATTTAGCTATCGAGTATTGTCAAAATTATTCAAGCATGTTCATTTATCTTATCAAACGAACATAAACGAGCCCTTATCGAGCCGATTCACGAGTAGCTCGTCGAACGCTCGGTTCATTTGCAGGCCTATTCATGAGTAAATGATGCATTTTGGTGGATCCTAAAGCTAGGTAGCCTTGTGCGCACGCACGTGCACACACACACACACACCACACACACACACACACAGAATATGGTGACTTAATGAGTTAGAAGAAGATGAGTTTCTTGAACTAATCATATTGTATGATTTATATCATACTAGATGATCATTTAACTAAAAAAAATATTAGTTAGGGCACTTTTGATAATTAAGATTGATTACTTCCGCATCAAGTGATAAAATTGTATGTTTTTAGATATTAAAAAAATTATAAAAAGATTTTATTTTTGTTAAAGAAAAATTTAAATTACTAATTCACCCTCCGCTTTATTAGTCTCAGGCTAGTTCTTTGATGTTAAACAACCTTCACGAACTTTCAAGTGATATTAAAGCGGGAATCAAAACTTAATTTTAGAAAACTTTTGAAGAAAGACCATGGCTAACTTTGGTTGTAATACTGCGGAATGATATTCAATCATACCACCACAATTATTTGATAACATTCCTTTTAATTCTTGAAAAATTCACGTGTCTACTTTCTTACAATCAATAGAGTTTTGCATGTGGATGTTAATTCAAAAAGGATATTATGCACCTTCTCATTTTATAAACGACATTAAAACTGAACTACCTTTTTCTGAATGAAGTATTGAGGATATAGATTTAACCACGTAAAAATATCTCGCCTCTTATTTTCCTTTCTTGCATTTATTTTTCTTTGTCTTTTTCATTAGAAATTTTGCGTGACTACTTACTCTTTTCATAATTGCTTTAAAATCATTTTAATTTTCTTCTTTTAATAAAAATTTTTAAAAACCCCAACTCACCCCCCCCCTCTTGGTGTGTCATAGTCATCCAACAATTGGCATCAGAGCCTTGGCACTTTTTATTTTGGCTTAACATCCTAGAGTAGATCCGCTTATAAACTATGGCACAAGGTTTTCCTAAGGGTTCACTTCCAAGTGATGGAGGATATGTCACATATGGAGATAATGCAAAGGGAAAGATTATTGGCATTGGATCCATATGTAAGAACTCAATTACTTCTATTACTTTAGAAAAAGTCTTATTTGTTTTTGGTTTAAAACATAATTTAATATCAATTAGTCAATTATGCGATAAAGGTTTAAATGTTTCATTTTATGCTTCACATTGCATTATTACAAATAATGAAAAATTTTGCTTATAGGAAATAGACATAAAAATATTTATTTGATTGATTTAGATAATACAAATGATGTTAATTTAAATTTACTTTGCATGAAATCTACAAATGATGATGCTTGGTTATGGCATAGAAAGCTATGTCATGCAAATATCCACACTTTAAATAAAGTTTCTAAACTTGATATAGTAATTGGTTTTCCAAAAATAAATTTTTATTTTTGATTCTATATGTGATGTATGCATTCATGGTAAACATTTGAAAAGTTCATTCAAGAGTAAAAATATAGTTTCTGCAAGTAGACCTTTAGAATTATTACTCATGGACTTATTTGGGCCAATTAATACAACTAGTTTATGTGGTAAAAACTATGGATTTGTTATTGTAGATGATTCTTCTAGATATACTTGGGTATTATTTTTTACTAATAAAAATAATGCATTTGATAATTTTAGAAAATTAGCTAAGTATATTCAAAGAGAACAAGGTTATTTTATTCATAGAATTCAAAAAGATCATGGTGGCGAATTTGAAAATAAATCATTTGAAAATTATTGTGATAAAAATGGAATTAGACATAAATTTTTAGCTGCTAGGACTCCTCAATAAAATGGTGTAGTTGAAAGAAAGAATCATACTTTGGTAGAATTAGCAAGATCAATGTTAGATGAATATAAACTTCCAAAGTATTTTTGGGCTGAAGCAATAAACACCGTAAGACCAATTCTTAAAAAGAACCCTTATGAAATATTTTTTGGAAAGAAACATAAGATTAGTCATTTACATGTTTTTGGATGTAAGTGTTTTATTTAAAAAAATGATAAGGATCCTTTAGGTAAATTTGATAGTAAGTCTGATGATGGTATATTCTGAGGATATTCAACTTTTGAAAAATCTTTTAAAGTTTTCAATAAGAGAAAATTAATTGTTGAAGAATCCGTTCATATAACGTTTGATGAAAACCCTATAGATTTAATAAGAAATGATTTAAATGATGATGATATTGAAAATATAATAAAAATAAATTTGGAAGAAAAGGAAGATGATTCATTGCTTAAAGAATGGAGATATAATAGAAATCATCCAAAAGAGTTAATAATTGGTGATCCTTCCCAACGTATTAAGACTAGAAGAAACCATAGGGATGAGGTAGAGCATTCTGCATTCCAATCTGAAATTGAACCTAAAAATTTAGATGAAGCTTTACAAGATAATTTTTGGATAATTGCTATGGAAGAGGAACTTAACCAATTTATTAGAAATGATGTTTGGAAGTTATTCACAAGACCTCATGATCAAAATATAATTGGAACTAAATGGGTTTATAAAAATAAGTTAGATGACTCAAGAAGTATTATTAGAAATAAAGCTAGATTAGTTGTATAAGGGTACACACAAATAAAAGGAATAGACTTTGAAGAATATTTTGCACCCGTAGCAAGAGTTGAAGCCATTAGATTACTTCTTTCCTTTGCTTGTTTTAAGGACTTCAAACTTTTTCAAATGGATGTCAAAAGTGCATTTTTGAATGGGTATATTGATCAAGATGTTTTTGTAGAATAGCCACCAGGTTTTGAAAGTATTAATTTTCCTAATCATGTATATAAATTAAAGAAAGCATTATATGGTTTAAAGCTAGCTCCATGTGCTTGGTATGATAGGTTAAGTAACTTTTTAATTGAACATAATTTTAGAAAAGGTATGGTAGATACAACTCTTTTTATCAAAAATATTGGAGAAGATTTGATTATTATACAGATTTATGTTGA